AGCAGACGAAACAACAAACGCAAATCTCAGTAGTTTCGTGAAATGTTATACAACAATCAAGAGATGGAAGTTCGGATACTTGCCTAGTGAGCGAAAGGCAACGGATATGTTGCCTTTCGCGCAAGGGCACACGTACCGTCCACTCCACAATTGCCGCTACCCCTGCTCTAAGGCCCCGGGCAGACTTCACGCGATTTGATCGTCGCGACTAAATCGCGACGAAACAACTGTTACAACATCATTCCATGCCGATCAACTTGCATTCGGTTGTGATACTTTTCCAGACCGAAATTTTTGAATGTGAAATGAAAATGAATGGAAATCTTGGCGATTAGATCGCAACGATTAAGTCGCGTGAAGTCTGACCGGGGCCTAAGAAGGAGAGGATACTTAGTTGAAAGCACCAATCCAGATGAGACATATATCATCTTAAAGCGCTTGAAACGCTGATTCCAAATCTACAGTTTCTAGCTGCGGAGCGGTTTTGTAGAGGGAGTTGTGAGGGGTGGTTCCCTCTGGGGTTGAAGCGCCCTCCACCAGGTCTCCCCTTACATATGAGCACTGTAAAGAAGTACCAACTGTGGCAACTGAGCTAGTGGTAAGTGCTTGACTTGCTTGATAAGGAGGGTGTCAAAGTTTTAATCCCCTCTGCATGCACTTTATCGCAGTTTTTGCAAAAACTGAGCTTCTAAATGGCTTTAGAGGCCTAATGCTTGAAATTTCTAATGATATTAATGCTAATCGAAGTTAGAAGTGTTGAAAAAACCAAAGTAATACGAGTATTATAATCCTTACTGTAGTCTTCATCAAAGCTACTTATCATTAGGCCAGTTGCCATCAACTGATACTCCTCTACAGTGCTCATAGACAAGGGGAGACCGCAGAGAGGAACACCCCTCATAACTCCTTCTACAAAACCGCTCTGCAACTAGAAACTGATTTAGAATCAGCGTTTCAAGCGCTTTAAGATGATATGTCTCATCTGGATTGGTGCTTTCGACTACGTATCCTCTCCCTGTAAGTCTCTGACCTGCGGGACGCTTGCTGAAATGTTGGCAACATGCATCAGCATGTTGACCTCGAATCTATCATCAACACGTGTTGCCGACATGTTGTTGCATATCGTCGACATGTTACAGTCGATTGCCGAACGATGTCCAGGTCATCTTAAAGGCAGTGTCCGGGCAAAAACTCGATTTTGAGATTTTGTGCTTATACGTGCCTATTCGCTATGCTGAATCCTAAAATCCACATTGGAAAGCGCGAAAACTGCGAAAAAGGGCTCTAACACAGGAGGAAAATCAGCAGGTGGGCGGGGCTTTCCCAAGTGCGATTTCACGCTCCCAGCTCCCGGAGCGATTTTCTCGATTCCGCTAGCCGTCTTAACATCGCTACCGGTCAAGTGCGAAAGATTGACTTGAAACCGCAAGCGAGAAGGTCGCTCAGGAAACCGGGAACGTGAATTCGCAGTGGGGAGGACCCCGTCCACCTGCTCATTTCCCTCCTGTGTTAGAGCCGTTTTTCGCCATTTTCGCGCTCTACAATGTGCATTTTCGGATTCAGCGTAGTGAATGGGCCCAAGTAAGCACAAGATCTCAAAATCGAGTTTTTGCCCGGACACTGGCTTTAAAGGCAGTGTCTCACCAAAATTGAGGTTGCACGGCACTTCACATCTACTATAAGGCCCACTATCTAGGCCATCACAACAAGTCGATTTGGCCTCCTCTCGCTAAAAAAAATGCGCCCGCACGGCGAACTTCGCCAACTCCCCATTTACCTTCCCCCCCCCCCGCTCTTGGGCTCGGGCAGAGTTTCGGTTGTGATAGTTAGTCATGATTAGTCGTGTTGGAAAACTATCAGGCAGTGACTCTGTCTCACAAGGAAAGGATACTTGGTGACCGTGGCGTTTTGAAATGAAACGTACACCAATAAATGCATCTTGAAGCGCTGATTTCAAATCTGCTTTCGGTATCTGCTGTGCGCTCTTCTGAAAGAAGTTATGAACATTTCTTGTCACCAAAATTTGCACTGCTTTTGATGCAGGATTCACCAATATCGTTGAAATGTTCGCTTACGCGCTACAACAGAGCGTACAGATAAAGTAAAGCTTAACGTTAAGCTCAGGAAAACTGTCACCGAAACATCAGAGTCTAAAAAGCCTGGATACGACGATTTTGACTGCCTGAATTTCGCAAAATCAATATGGAAAAAAGTCCATACCTTCGTTCAGGGAGTAGCACCGCAGACAATGAACATAAATTTGGAATCAGCGTTTCAAAGCACATCTATTGGTTTACTTCACATTGTAAAAGGCCACGGTCACCAAGTATCCTTCCCTTGTCAGCCTTGGCGGCGACCGTCGAATTTCAAATTGTAAGGCTTTGGAAAACGCATGTTCTCGCCGTATCCGCGCCTTAGAATGTGGATTTCCGGATTCAGTGTTGCGGATTGTTGTAGTCCTTGCCTGTTGAGTCGAACCGGACACAGGGGAATGCTCAGTAGTTTATTAGCTGATCAAAATAGTGAATGAATAATCAATTGGTTACGATACCTAAATATATACACTCGCCTCTGAGAACGTACCATTCGGTCTCCTCGGGGATGACGGATGCTTTGCAAATTTTACGCCTTTGAGACCCGCTGTCGCAGGCCCGGAAGTCTAGCTGCGTCGAAAGCTAATGCAGCTTTTTTGTTTTTTATTGTCGTTGCATTATTATTTGCCTTTGTTTCAATGATGACTGTAATCAGAATTTGAGAGTTTTTGTTGCTTAGCAATGTTTCGTACCACCAAGCTCGCTTCTTTACTCTCTTTTCAGGAAAGGTTGGAAAAACGAGGCGCATGGAATATTTGTGACTTGAAGTGTTGAATGAAGCAATACTTCAAGGCAACCGAGGAAAATTTCACCAGCTTTCAAACTCAACAAACCTAGTCGTTTTTTCAAGTTCAACTTGGAATCGTAGTCGAAGAAATGAGCATAGAGCACAATTTATCGCTCAAATGAGAGCAACAATTTCAATACGAATTGAGAAAACTGTCAGCATTCAAAGATTAGATTGAAACACTGCGAAAAACAAAAAACTTTGTTTGAGATTGAGGTGAGAGCTGCAGGTGCCGCGCTCTGCAGCAATCGGCGTGCTTTAGTTCAAACTAGCTGGCTTACCCGGCTTCGCCGTATCCGGACCAAACTTGGCACACATACACTTCGGGCCCCGGCGGGTGTCACAGTCCACTTTTCGTTATCGATCGATGTCGATTTTACCGATTTTTATCGATTTTTTTGCAGAGTTCACCTGCAGGGCTAGGAGTTGGCACAGGGGGGGGGAAGTGAGCATGGGGATTCCGAATACAATATTAGTTTTCAGAATTATCGATTACTTTTGTTGATTTTATCGATTTTTTGTAAATTTTGACATGCGAGGCTGGGATTTTGCACAGGGGGGTAATCGAGCATGCTGATTACGAACACAATATTAGTTTTCAGGATCGTCCATTACTTTTATCGATTTTATCGATTTTTTTTGTAAAGTTTGATCTGCGGGGCTGGGAGTTTGCACAGGGGGTAATCGAGCATGCAGATTACGAATACAATATTAGTTTTCAAGATCGTCCATTACTTTTATCGATTTTGTCGATTTTTTGAGAATTTGAGCTAGGGGGCTGGAATTTGGCACAGGGGTGTAATCGAGCATGCTGATCACCCCCCTTGGGAGTGATCAGCATGCTCGATTACCCCCCTGTGCCAACTCCTAGCCCCCTAGCTCAAACTTTGCAAAAAAATCGATAAAATCGATAAAAGTAATCGATAATCCCGAAAACCAATATTGTATTCGGAATCCCCATGCTCGATTACCCCCCTGTGCGAACTCCCAGCCCCGTAGCTCAAACTTTGCAAAAAATCGATAAAATCGATAAAAGTAATCGATAATCCTGAAAACCAATATTGTATTCGGAATCCCCATGCTCGATTACCCCCCTGTGCCAACTCCCAGCCCCGTAGGTGAACTCAGCAAAAAAATCGATAAAAATCGATAAAATCGATATCGATCGATGACGAAAAGTAGCCTATGACACGCGTCGGGGCCCGAAGTGTATGTGTGCCAAGTTTGGTCCGGATCGGTTCAGAAATGGAATTTTCTATTCGGAACATACGTACATACATACATACATACATACATACATACATACAGACAGACAAACAGACATTCAGCTTTATATATAAGATTCGAATTCGTCTGCTGAGTGTCTAGTGGGGGGAGGACGACTATATACCCATCACCAATGTCTCATGACTTCGCCTCAGTCCGCTTTGTGTCCTGTGTGCAAGCTATATTGAATAGTCTTATAGTTCCTTCACACTAAGCCGCAGGACGCGGCATGCAGCGGCGCACGCCGCAGGTCGCAGCAGCCTCCCGCAGCACGCGGCAGCACGCCGCGTCCTGCGGCGTGCGCCGCTGCAGTAGCAGTGAAAATATAAGCTCGCTCGCTGTGAAGGAACTTCTTGGAGAACACGAACGTGCAGCAAATATAGATGCACATCCATAACCGGCGAAGCTGTGCTGCCGTGAGCGTCTAATTTCCTGCGACTTCATTGGCAGCAGGACGCGGCGTGCTGCTGCGTGCTGACACGTGTTGCGGCCCCGCGGCGCGCGCCGCAGCACACCGCGTCCTTCGGCGTGGTATGAAGGAACCCTAGAACCTGCTAACTCTCGAGAACGAGGGTAAAAGTATCCAAAATGATGGTAGCTAGACGGAGAGGCTGCGAGCTCATTGGATCATGAAAATATCAGCACCCAAACTAGAGAAGCCAACTGGCTCAGAGAACGAACTTTGACGTTAGAGCTCAAGTCCACTTTATGCCCTGGTTCGAAACCAAACATTTCATAGGAAACATATATTGCATGTTTATGAAGTTTATGATAAGCAAATCTACATTAATAATAGCAAGTTTGGACACACCCGTCAAATAATTTCAGAAAAAGGGATTTTTGGAACAAGAGCACAAACATATATGATGCTGGAATATAAACCACTGAGAATTGGACTATGAAAGCTGTTTTATGACTTGGCTAAGATGAAAAAACTACGCAATCATTATTGAAAACATAAGTACCATTAGTAAAAAAAAATACCACCGCATGAGATGAGAAAACAGCGACATTTTTCTTTCATGAGCTTTGAAAAAAAAACAAAAACATAAAATGTACAGTCCTAAGCGAACTATGAGTAAAACATGCTTCGAAAAGTGTGTTGGCTTAGATAAAGTTTGCCAGTGTAAACCAATACATGTTTCCAACTGGGATGCAACATAGAAGTAAAGATGCTAGAACAGACAAGCATGAAAAAAAGCAAACTATATGTAGCTCATGAAGTAGGAAGCTGATCAATTGGAGTAACAAATTTGAAATCCTCCGGAAAAAGCTCGGCGGCTTTTGGGTAGAGAAGTTTGTAAGTTTGCTTTACTGTGACTTCAGCGGCACCAGCAATCTCCCCAATGTCTAAAAATACACGATTTGATGACATATCGGAAAACTTGTTAGACCCACCTTTCGCCGAACGCTTTTCACTGGAAGCTTGTGATGCCATGTAAATAGCTGCTGCAGCGATCGAAATCGGCGACCTTCTGAAAAAGTGATTTGGGTACAAGTAAATCAAAAAGAACTCAAAGCTACTTACCCAGCCACAAGATCCATCTCCACAGCTCTTTTTGCGATACGTGTGGCAGCGGCCTAAATTTTTAATATCAGATAGCGAGTAACAGATATAAGCACTCACCTGTATCGAGTTTGGTAGCGACAAGTTTCCACAGAATCTGGACATGAAATCCGCCGAAGTGATCTGCTCAAGGTTAGTTTCAAGACTTTTGATGATGAGTTTGAAACAACGTCCAATTTCCTTTTTCGATACACGGGAAACAGCACAAATTTCTGGAACATTCAAACTCACGTGCATATCCCAAACGTGATAAAAATTTTAGTGGCGAAAAAAAGAGCAAACTGACCTTTGAATGTCCTAGGCACTCCTTCCTTTCGGCAAGCAATGTACAGGCAAGCTGCTGCTTGCGCCTCATTGTTCTTTCCCTTCAGCGCTTTACTATCCAACACATCCTTGAAGGTCTTAGAAGCCAAATCCTGGAAGTGAATCTCTATAGTGCTTCATGGAGAAATATTGAAGCATTTCATACCTGTATGCTTTTTGCAAGATGGATCCTTTCGCTCATTTCTCTGATCACGCTCATAGCCTGAGTCATCTGACGGTCAGTATTATTCATACTCTTTCGCTGTGCATTAGCAAGACTGAAACTCACATACAGTCAGCTGACCATGGCATTTTATCTAGCGATACTAACCTGGTATCACTGTCGCTTGCGCCAAATCCTACAGCAATGCTAGTCGAGAGATCACCTCCGCTGAGCAGCGGATTTTCCGGGGCTCCTACACGAGAGGGATCTGTACCACTACGTTCATTAGAGAACGAACGCCATTCGGTACCAACATCAACAAGCCTAAAACAACAGTCATGTCATTCATGCCTATAATACCAAAAAAATTGGGCTTTTATGATTGTGAAGTTAATCAATTTCGAAGTTGGAATCAACTATCACCCATATATTTCCGAAGTGGACAAACAAGACTCGTAAAGATTATACTTGAAAGGATAATGTCCATGTTCATTTGCTTAGAAGGAAAAAAATAGCTTGAGCAGAGTGATGATCAAAATGGCATGAAATGGATAGGCAAAACAGCCAGAAGAACAGCGTACTAGTGATAGACAACGTACTATCAGACCATATAAGGCTGATTCAATACTTTCCACTTACCTGTCACCAACAACGAGGCCGCATTCAGGACAGATAACGTCACCGGCTCGGTGGTCTTCAACCAAATGAACGTTTGGATGAATAGGACACTCAACAGAAGTCATACCTGGAAAAACCGAGACTCGTGTGCGAAAGCGTGCAAAGTATGTCTCAAATGCGATGTCCCCTTGCGTTCGGCTATGCACCTGCGCCGTGAAGACTTCGCGTGCCGAGACCCCCGATCAAATGACTGCGTACTATATGAGGCCCATCAGTCTCGCATTCAGCGTTTCTAGCAGGGTGCGGACGGGGAACATGACTCGATGCTATAAGCGAATTGCGCAAGTGAGACGAAGATATTGATTTTGCATTGTTTGCAATTTGTCACCTTAGCCCCCCCACCCCATCGACCGCTTGAAACAAACACACGTGGACGCCACGCGAAGCGGATGTGCCCTTCACGCTAGGACACTACAAATGAGACAAAGTGTAACATCTCCACGAGGAAAATCAATGCAAAACAAAACATATATCGAAAGGCTAACACCTAAAAATAACAGTGCACGACATAGTACAATGTTTATTAGGCACCATGACTAGGTCACATTCTCGAACAATAAAAAATGATATTAGTCTATTCATTGGGGTATTTTGCCAATCAATGCTCTCATCCTGTCAAACCCATTCTGCGATCAATAAATCTGGCGACTAAACTTTGATCTGGAGGTGTGAAAGGTTTCATGTTAAACAGCATTGGATTAGTGATTGTACTTGATAACTGCGGGACAGTGCAATACAACAAATGTTCGCCACGAGCTAATTCCTTTGCAAGCTCCAGTTGATGGTTGTCCATTAGGCCTTCATTGACAACAACGATGAAAGGACGCTTCAACTTTAGACATTCCAAACATGTTCCAGCGCCAGCATGTCCGATAACTAACTGCAATAGAAGTCAATCAAAAACAATATAGGCGAACACGATCAAAGAGTCAAAATAATAAACACCTAAAGACAGGAATTGCACAAAAAAGATTCTAATACTTTTGATATTCATGGCTCTACCGCATTTCTCACTTCCACATCTTTCTGAAACAAAAAAAAAAACCCCGGCACGAATCCACACCCATGTTTTTTAGGACAAAGGCAAAACAACTCACCATAGAATTCTCCATGTCCTTTTTTATATCCGGTTTGAATCGATAATATTCTATGGGCAATCCACCATACTATAACAGTGCTACATAAAATCAACCCAGACCTTGCAACTACCCCGAATGAAATCTTGACTTACCTCAATAACTCCTTCGTCCTTGATAACATTTTCAAAAACACGTTCCCTGATGTCAGCATCCCATTCTCCAGCTCCCATTTGAATTTTGATTTTATTCACACCAGCAGACCTCAGTGCAGATATGCAAGCATCTCTCAGCACCTAGGAGTTACATATACCCATTCTACTCCCTTGGGAGTTTGCGCGCTTACCTCGTTCACAAGTTCATCAAACCGCGTGGTTCCAACGGTAACGAAACATGCCATCTGGAAGACACAGATTGAGTTGGAATATAGACAGCGTAATAGTCGGATATGTAATGATCTGCGGTAAAGAATACCATCTCCAAGGAAGACGTATGAACAGACTATCTCAGATTTATTGAGAGTTAACAGAGTATAAACGCACAAAAACTTGCTCCTCAATCGATTGTCCATCGCACCAACCTCTCTGGTACTTTCACTGTGTCTTCAAGCCTTAGACGCTGAAAAATAATTATTTTTCTCTGCTCTACATACAAAATGAACGAGGGTATGAGTGAACGCACGAGCGAATGGACTATTCCTTTCTGCGACTTCAGCTCTGATAGAATGTCGAAGAGTTGAAATTTGAGATGCTGGTCAAGTTCACCTTTCTGAAATAAAGATAAGAAATTTTCTTGCTATCTCAGTCCAAGAAAAAAAACGACCAAAAACAGTGCATATACGAAAAACTAATTACCCTAAAATCCGGCTTATAAGTCCGCCTTTTCGACAAAAAAAAAGCGAACTTATCTGCAGGACTCTTAGCGGCGCGATGGTGCATATTCATCGATTTTCCTTGTCAAAAAGCGGACTTATCTGATGGGTGGACTTATCTGATAGGAGGACTTATATGCCGGATTTTAGGGTATTTCATAAGTAGCAAAATATACAAATCTTTAAAAGTGCCTGCAAGTCAGTTACAACAAATGGTCAATGAATGAATTGAGACTGACCTCCTTGTAATAGTTCTTGCAAGTGATCTGCAGCTGTTCGATCACGCTCTCAACAACATGAGTCATCCTCTCGATTTGTTCTACAGTCTCGCTTATGCGGAGAGTTTCTGCGCAACAGCTTTTCTCTGACTCGGTTTCGCCAGCATCATTACTGAAATACGAAACACTATTTCCAACTAATGATACGAAAGCGCTCACACTAGCCACGGGCTATAATGTTGAAAAAGATTTAGTATCGTTCGACCAATGCATGAAAGAGCGGCTGGCGTGGTTTCAGATATCAAAAACTGCACTCATAGTCTTACATAGGCTGTGCTCACGGAAATGAAGAAGGAAACCATGTTGGTTCGTCAAGTCCTTGATTCTACTACTCGCTATGGCCACTATACTCACCTGTGCGACCTGTCGGTATTTTCATGACTATCGACTTTGCTTCGTTTCGCTGGTTCTTCAAAGTTCTCCAGCCTACAAATGAATTATTCACAACACCAAAAAAATAAGTTGATGGTCACCCAGTCAAAATCTTTCAAGCTAGTATAAACCAATCCTCTGCTGCACTTCTGACTTGGTGATACGAATAAAATCATGGAAAGAATGCTAAAATTCACCCGCCAACTTCATTCTTCCTCTTCAGCGACGCACGTGATCCGGCAGATTGCAACTCTGAAATTATACAATTCTAACTTATGCAGATGATTTTGAGAATGATCTTACCAGAATCACCATCCAGGTATAAGACGGGAACAATACCACTCTCCTCGGTTAGCTGAGAATATATCATGAGGTAATCAAAACTTAGATAAGATATAGCAGGGAGGAAGTGAAAAAAAAATCATGAAAGAGCGACTTATTGCATAGATGGTGGCAGACAACTGCAGATAGCTTCGAACCTTTTCGCTAGCTTACAAACAACTACTGCAGGAAAACATAAAGAGGAAAAATACATAGCGACTAACCGAGAAATGTTTTAAACAGACGTTTTTGCTACCATCATATGCGAACGATTCATCATATCTTTGCAGAGACTCGATCCATCTGGTGTGAAGGCTGTCATCTGAAATTTCAGGATAGTAGCATGGATGACGATTTCGAAATGACTGATTGTAATAATGAAAACACACCCGGTTTCGGGAAAGAAATGCAAAGGGTTTCAGTTTTTGCATTGGAGCATTGAGCGACAGCGCACGTGGTAGTACGAAACGGTCCTAGTCGTGAAAGGACTCCACTAACACCATGGGGTGCTAACTTGCGGAACACGCTTGGATCCTATTGACGATGACGAGGTGGATAGAATGCAACATTGAAAAATTTGACGCTCACTTGCATGAGGCCTCTGGTATAGCGTTTCCCTTCCGCAAAATGCATCTCGCAGATATGTGCCTTGGCAGGAAGATGAAACTCGAAAGCACCCGGTACACCTAATCCATCTTGAACAGCCTTGCACCATCTCTTATAATCGACACTGAAAAAATATCCTCCGCTTGAAAACTTGCTATCTTGACGAGATGCTAGAAAATATTTTCAAATTTGGCGTTATAGAAAAAGTGGCTTCTTCCGGCTTCAGGTAAGTATAGAATCCCCGAAACAGCAACAGCTTGTCTGAAAACCTGTCACTAGTCGCAAAAACCTTCAAATACAATTCTTCAAACATTTTGACAACTGGCCGTTCACAACTTAAGCAAAACCGCAGTAAACACGCTTCTTCTGGAAGCAGCAAAGATTTGAGCATCTTTGAGTTCACAGAAGCCGCACTTATGCAGCAATCAATATATCATCGGCTCCCAAATTCGTGTGAAGGCGGGTTACGGACTTCTGTGATTTTCAGGATAAACTTGTTAAACCTCCACATAGCATTGTATTTCGTACTCTCTCGTTGAGTTTATCCTTAAAATCAGGGAAGTTCGTACCCGCCTCCACACGAATTTGGGAGCCGCTCATATGTAAGGACCTGTATCTGTACCAGAAGACGTAAAAAATGTTTTTTCTTTCGTAATTGATTCGATGTTTTCAAGCATGTTTGAGGAGTCAAAAAATGTATGAAAAGTTTATACGTACCCACTCGATGGTATGGAAAACATCTTGACGTATCTGCTGGAAAACAATGAGATATCACACGACTTATAGTTGCATCCTGTAAAATTATAACGCACGGTATAATCGGTGACTTCAAACAACTCATTACCTGGCACACAGCAAGACAGTGGACTACTCAACGGATTCACCAGGACACCAGTTGGCTCTGGAAGTTTCAGCAATAATTATAAGAAAAAACAAGTAAGTCGAACCAGGGCCCGGCGGGGGTGGCGCTTTCACAGGCTGGATATCGTTTTTGGCCTGAAAAAGCAAAGGGGAAGTCGTATTTTGGGGTCCGGGGCGGAGCCCGGACCCCAAAATACGACTTCCCTTTTGTTTACCGATAAACGATGCACATATCATTCTTTATTCATCATTCCTTGTTGATGCTACTGTCCTATGAACTTAGATTCCAGCAATGTGAAGATTCTGTGCTCCGATCGCTAGCCTACCCGCAGGCGGGAATTCAAATCGCAATTCTTGTATAAGGAAAATAATAAAATAGGCTCGTTTTCAATGCACAAGTAACGATATGGCACCAAATTTGCTGTGTAGTTGGAGGACCATGAGCACAAAAAAAGTATGAAGGATTATGAGAAACTTATGTGAATTTAAAAAATGGTAAGTGTTTTTCGAAATTAGGTGGCTCCCGCGCCACCTGGGAGCCACCTGGGGTGGCTCCCTGCTTCCCTTCACATAATTTCCCGGCTTTCTTTACATAAATGTGGACTAGGTCGAGAGTATTACTATATGTTCAAATCCGCTTCCAAAACCAGCAAGGCACCGCTTCGTTACAGCCCCAAATAGGGTTCACAGCGTTATGATCGGCCTCGGAAAGCGCGCTCCAATCGCAATCGGTTATTGTAAGTTGTACAGTATTCGACCCGGTTTAGGCGGAAATTGGATTGGCGGCGTCCGCCTCGCAACAGCTCGCGCCGTTTCGCAGCTACAGTATGACCTATCGTGCTGAGAACCAAGGCCTGCGTCTATTCATTCTGCTCAGTCTTTGTGGCAAAATGCTACCGCTATGCGCTCGCGAAGCCTCTAGCGGCGCGCATGCGCCGCTCCTTGTTGAATGTTCCGCCTAATCCGGGATGAAATCGGCTGTAAAGTTTCGCAGCTGACTAATAAATGAGTAGTATCTTAGATTTACAGGGTGTCCCAAAAAAATGTTTAGAACGTTTGATAGTCAATATCTCTCTTCCCAAGAAGTCTTTTGCCTTCCTTCAGGTACCGTTTTGTAGAACTTAGATTTGCATTATAAAACGAATCACCCATCTCTCTTCATTGTTGTAGGATTACGGTAGAAACTTGAAACATATGGTGTCAATGTGGAAAAAGCTGCCGTTTCAAAATTTTTCAAAAAATTGTGAAAACTTGTGTAATAGGGTTTTTTTAGACGCTGAGTTCAATACTCAACTATTCACAAGGTTACGAAGCTTTCTAAACGGTTTAATCGCACTTTTTAGGATTTTGAAAAAAAAAGCCGCTACCTCTCACCTGGCATAACTCTTCAATGAAGCATCATAATGAGTTGGGAACTTTACAGTTATAATCAGCAATTCTAATTAGCCTGGTGTAAAAGTTTTCAGGCTGTTTTGTTTCCTTTCTGGGGCAAAATATGGCCTTTCATGGTTCAAAACCCTCTATGAAGTTTCTACCGTAACCCTACCGTAATGAAGAGAGATGGGTGATTCGTTCTATAATGGAAATTTAAGTTGAAGCCAGCTCTACAAGACGGTACCTGAAGCAAGGCAAAAGACTTCTTGGGAAGAGAGATATTAACGATCAAACGTTCTAAACATTTTTTTACACCCTGTATAAACGTCAAGTTTGTGCAAATCTTGACCCTATGTTTTTTATAGATTCCTTTGCGGATTAACCCATTGAGCTGAAACCTTGATGACCCGGGCTGGACCAGGAAAGCCAGGTAGTACTACTATAATAAGGCTGAGGCCGCCCATCTTATTATTTTTGTATATTTGTTTGTCAGGGACTTACGGGGTTCAAAAATAGGGTCAAAGGGGAATTCGTAAGAAATTTTGGCTTCAAAGGGGATATCGTTTTCAAAATTCGTAAATGCCACCTCCTGCCGGGCCCTGAGTCGAACTTCAAGAAAATCTTACCAAGTTTGTCTATGTCGACATCTTCATAGCCCATTTCGGAAAGGAAGACATAACGCCGTCGAAGACGAAGCAAAAGCTCCTTAACATCGATAATATTTTGAACCAGAAGTTTCATGTAAATGAAAACGTGCACCAACATCACGAGAAAAGAAAGGCTTCTCTGGAAGATTAAGGCTCGGCACAAGAGCAGTCGGCAGATCAGCACATCTTGGGTCGAAATGGTGACTACAGATCCGAAAAGGAAAGAAGTATAGCTTTTTTGATGGAGCTATTTTTTTGTTCAGTATCTGCCCGCCCTCCTCTGAAATGAAGAAGAGTTACTTCTACGCATGATATCAAAAACAATGGAATGTCGCTGTGACTAACCATCTTCTTCGTGCAAACTATTGATGAATTTGATTATGAGAGTGTTCTGCTGACCGATGTCTGACTGAAAACAAAAAATAAGACTATGAACTTGATTCGTAATTGATATGGCAGCATGAATTCCTGCAATTAGCCTAGACAAAGCGTTGAAACTGCTTCTTATTTACTGATCTAATTAAAGGGAATGTATCTGACACAAATGACCATGAGCTACTTCGTCAGTAAGTTCGTAAAATTCAATCAGCAAAATTTGTGAACAGACATATTCCGGTTGTTCATAATCATAAATAAAAACACTACATTACGCACATATTATCATATTCAAGTTTTTTTTTTGAATCCCTCTATCGCCGACTTTAGAAGTATGAAGCGCTGAAGATCGTCTTTATACTTGCAATCAAGTACGGACACATTGTGATTGAAAAACGAAAAAACTTAAACTTTATCGAGGAATGAATAGTTATCACCCACCACACATATGCAGATCCATTGCAGAGCAGTCTCTACGTTGGATGGCAAAGTGCAACGAAATCCGATGTTCTCCGGTTGCAGTCTATTGTAGGAACAGCCGTCCACGAAGCACCTGATCTTCCTTTTTGAGAGTTTTGCCTGAAGTACGAGTACTCTGACACTGGGATGGGGCTTTTATCATCGACTAAACTATGCGAATGAAAGTCGCGGTCAAATGTCAGTTCATCTTCGCTTTGTACTACACATAAGGTTGTTACTAGAGCAATGTACTGAAATCAGTGAATGGCATTACTGGAAGGAAGACAAGAGCAACTGTGATATGCAATAACTGCACTCGACAACAGTCAAAATCAATAAGTGTTGAATGCTTTGATGAATGTACCAATCACACCTACTATAGTACACTTTTCCAGCCATTTCCTGTGTATGCACTCCCAAGCATTAAATGTACAGAAAAGTACAGATTTTCAACGTTCTTCTTATCTACGAAGCGCTGCGATTTGCATCTAGAACTTGAGGAGAAAGACACTATTTGCATTCTCCCCCTAATGTTCAAATTATACCTCGCTAAGGGAAAAAAAGTCGGCTTAGTAATAATGTTCAAGCAGCGACGTGCTTTCTTTGGATGGCTACTAGATGTCGAAAGAGTCGTTTTATGAGTTGGTCACACATAGAACCCAGACTACGATGGTGGTGCACAAGCATTATATGATCAAGAGAGCAAGAAACTGTCAAGAATGATTTTTGATTTGTTCGCGCAATATTACTATCATCTGTGCTCCATAAAAGTTCTCAAAGGTGCCACCGCTCGCGCGCTCAGCTTGCTGGCGTTCGCTCCTTTTTAGCACGTTAACTTCGGCAAATCTGAGGTGTTTACCCTAAGCGAACGTGTCAAAACGAGCGAAAGGCAGCGAAATAGCGTACAGTCGATAATACCGACGCGAACCTCTCTGGAGAACAAACCATATGCGAAATAACTACTACCTCAACGTTTCAAGCTAAACTGTTTTCGCGGCCGTGGAAATGCTTTTGATCAGGTTTTCGCAACCATATAAAGGCTGCTGCATGACGAAGGCGCAATGGCGATACTGGGTGAGCGTGCGCGAACGCGACGCGCGCATATCCTCACCGTTGTAGATCCCGCACCTCATGCGCTCTGCGGCTAATAAAGCCGCCTTAGCGCCCGAAGGTATTGCGCCTTCGTCATGCAGCAGCCTATACCTCTTTGTATTAGGTAAACAACGCGAAAAGAAAATGAATACAAGATCTGATTCATTATAACATGAATACCATTTATGAAAAATACTTTTGCATTCTGAATGTACCTAGTTTGATTTTATACTTGTTGATGAAACACACCAAACTTCCTGGAACATTTAGTGAAGAATTTCCTTTGAATAAGTTCGTTGTGTATATGGAAACGGGACTGAGAACGAATAGCCCCCCCCCCCCTAATAAACTAAACATGATGAAGTTAATTGTACAGGTAGAAAATCGAGAATCCTGCACACTTTCGAAAATATAAGCAATATCGAACTTGCCTTAGAAAAACGTATTCAGACATGCGCTCCCAACAGGGCCGGCACAGATCGTTTAAAAGCAACCGAACTTCGTTTTTGGGGCGAAAAAGCAAGCGTTTTTTGTGGTCAGGAATTGCGACGCTTTTTTTACTCAACGTTTTGTTTTCTTGAATGTTTTTACGTTTAGAGCTGAGAATCAAAGGGGGCTTCGTGAAAATTTCGCGGAAGTTAGGGGGACTTCGTTTCAAGAATCCTAGAAACGTACTCATGCCGAAGCCTGGCTCCCAACCATTCACCTTCACACCACCATCTTTATTAATGACTGAAAAGTGCAGCACATCGCGAAACTTTCCAGAAAATTCCACTACCAGCAAGGCGTAGCCAAAAAAAGGGTACCTACATGTATGAATGACAATGATTTATTAGCTATTAATATTTAGCTTTTTGAAGTTTGCATCCACCCTTAAATCTGCATTATAAGTGAGAAGAAACGCATTCAAAGAAGGATGTATAATAAACAGATCAATACCCTGAACACCAAGAACAGCATCGAGAGATGCAAAAAAGGCTGCATGAACATATTTCAGAGCATGACCAGCAACGATTGCAAAAGAGCCACTTTGTTAAAAAAGAATTCATTGTTTTGCGCGTTTTGCACATAATTCCTCGTCAAAACGATATGTGGTAGAAAACAAAGTCCTTTCTTCGAAAGTGAAATACACCAGATCTTCTCAGCGTAACAGCAAATGCTCAGAGCGTTTCATTCATGTGAAATCTATCTATCACGAAACTAGGGGACGCTCCTAACGTATGCCAAAACCAAGTGAAAGAGATTCAGAGTGAACCTTTCACGATTAGAGCAGCACCAGCAGCCGCTACCAGCCCAAGCGCTCGTACGCGTGCACTGAATGCCGGGGCCATCGCGGGCTTTTTATACCAAAGAGGCGGGGCGTGGCATTTTCGAAACGCAAAGAACGACCAGCTGGCTGGTTATCGACCGCTTGTGTACACAGCACTACGTGATTGACGCTCATACTATGCTAACGATTCTTTGACATCGTGTTCCACAAATAACCCTGACTGCCTATGATTAGTTTCTGCAGCGCAAAGAATGCGAGCAACTTCTCCGCACCAAATTAGATAGAGGATTATGAACTCAAGAAGAGAATTGCTTTTACTAACTCAGTAACGTATTGTGTATTAGCAACGATTCCGCCTACTGGACATACAACAAGATACAGATGCGTAAAGAACAAAATCAAAGAACGAAAACCATCCAAAAATGAAAGGAAAAAAAGCAGGAGATGAATGATGACTCACTTGAATGACATCAATGACGCATCCGAGATCTCGCAATCGCAAAAACAGTTTTTGCAGCGGCAACGAAAGGGTGCCTCTTCTTATGGTGTTTTCGCTGAAAAGTGCCAACGCATTGCGGACTGCCTGAAAATTGTTTCGGTTAATAAAGCGAGTACACAAGAACTCTGAATAATACTTCGCCTCCTCCATCATCATCAATAGTGGCTGCTAAAGCATCGCGGAGCGTCGGCGGATTCTCACCGTCTCCCATCAGTTCGGACGCCTCAATAGGAGCGGAATCGTCGACAACCGGTGTAACATCCTGAAAACTGTTTCGGTCAAGCACAACTGGTTGCTAGGAACTGTACAACATACTTCGCCTCCATCATCGTCATCAACAGTGGATGCTGAAGTAGAAGCAAGCGTTCCGCGAATTTCAGTGTTTCCAAGCAATTCAGATGCCTCAATAAGGGTAGAATCGTCGTCGACGATCACTTCAACTTCCTCATCGAGTTCATGCTCTGCTGCACTAAAGTTATTACTCAATCAACAGTGACCTGAACACATTTTCACTGAACATAATCATGATATAAGACTGTGAAAACATCTGTATAACTCAATTGTAGGGCACCCCTTCTACAGAAGTTGAGGACAGGGTAGGCATTCGAAATATCAGATCTTTGCTTCATAGTGATCTAGGAAACTCACTTGACTTTTTCTTCCGGGGTGATAACAGACCGAACTTCTGCACCGTCCCGTGAAGACTTCTTGCCCTATACATAGAAACTATTATCATTCAATGGCTGCTACTGTCTAACCTCTTTGGATGAACAAGGAGAATCAGTGAGGTGATGAGCTTCCGGATCTGAAAGGTAAATCTCAGAAAAGTATTTATAAGATGAATGATATATATTAGGGCTACCTGACGTTGGTGATGCGATAAACAAGTCGCAGTCTACTAAGTCATCATCGTCTGCCATATTACGCTAAACGTTATTAGCTGAATTATGCAAATGAAGTGCGGCAGAAGTACGAGACGATTGAGAACATCATATGAAAACAGATTCATGACAATAGAAAGCGTTTATCAAGCGAGATTCCGTGATTGGCACTTCGAAAGGAGGAGCAATAAAAAGTATTATGCATTAATAAAAGAAGTGTGGAAATGAGATTATCAAAGCTCTTGTTTCCTCAGAGTTTCCGTGTGGTTTTCGACCAGATACTCCGCATAAACTTGGTATGGATCAACATCGTCGAACTTATGGAATGAGATTGGTGGGATCCGCCTAAAATATCAAGTGCAAAAGACAGCCAAAATTGTATCATAAGACATGAGAAACTAAATCGCGACGAAACCTAACTCCAAATTTCACAAGTACTCAAAAAAATAAAGGACTAATATTTGTAAATCTGAGGGATGCGAAAGCGTACAACTCATTTGCTGTCTACGCAAGAAAGTATCTTGTGAAAGGTGGTGTCCTCACAAAACATACTCATCTTTTACTTCAAGTGAGATGAACAAAGCCCAGCAAAAGTCCCTTTTGAACTAACGAGTAAAAAGAAAGAGAAAGCGTGACGGCTGACAGCCCTTCGAAGTAGAAAATTGACTGAGGGAACTTATGCAAACTTACTCCAGATAAGCTTTTGGGTAGTCAACATGCCGAGCCTGATGAAATGCTGCACTGTGCAGTATTGCCACACTGGACTTTCGAGCACATACGCCTGAGAGAGCAAATGCTATCAAACGCTAAGTGTTACATTATACTTTATCTCACCGATGATCATGTCATCGGGCGAATCATTTGTGGGACAATCGCAAACAGAAACAATTGCTTTTACTGCCGCATGAGAAAAAGCCATCCTGTAACAAAATTCCACGAACATTTCTGATAGTTTAATGGAAATAATAACTAAACAAACCCAGATCCACCTGTTGGATAGTCATATCCATCCAAACCCGAACCGGAAAAACCATAGCCATATCGCTCACCCACGATCACCTGTGCATGAATTCAGATAGAAACTTCAGTGCACTTTGCTCAAAATACAAAAAGTAGCAAACCTACCTTTTCGTTACTGTTATAACAAGACAGAAGTCGTAACAGTCTAGAAACACTCAATAAAGTGTCATCGTCAGCGATAAAAAGCCATAGAGGTTTTCTAACGACTTCGCTTTGAGCTGATATGTCAGCAAAACGCCTCAAAATCACAAGTGTTTTTTCACAATGCCCTGGAAAACGCTGAAAGTTTAAGGCTGCAAAGAAAAAGCGCTGCTGAAAATTACCCCTTTTAGTGTTTGGCACCCCAACGGCGATCGTGGGAATACTTTCATTAGCAACGTCACTAAAGAACTCAATCGATGGCAATGATGCACCCCAAGTGTTTTTGATGATGGGAACTAAAAAAATGTGCACAATGAGAGAATTTGCACATCTGCAAGAAAAGTTGAAAACTGGCGATTGGACTGCATATTCACACCTAAATTTTCAGAACCAAATGCTGTGTACAAGAAATAGAAAGCAGGAATGTAATATTCTTGGGAAAAACAAATTGGTGTCTGGCTGGAGAGAGCAGGAAAGCAAGTGGGCGTTTTGCTCCTTACAAGTATAGTCGCCCTCATCCCACTAGTCGGTCGGTGGACGAACTCAAATTTGAATTGGAGCAGGCCTGTCACGGCAAAGCGCGGCAGGAGACAACGCTCAGCAATTACAAAAACTCAATATAGATCAAAAACGTTGTAACAATACAAAAACTGCTAAGCAATGGCGAAGAAATACGCAAAGTGAATGCGTGAATTTGAACGGAGAGCTAAGGTGCCGTGCTCTGCAGCGACCTGCCTGCTCCAGTTCGAATTCGAATTCGTCCACCGACCGACTAGTGGGGTGAGGACGACTATATATACTATGTCTGTATGTAGTCCATGCGTGTTCCGAATACAAGTCTTTATTTCTGAACCGGTCGGGATAAAACTTTGCAAACATACACTTCCCGGCAGGGAGGGGGGGGGGACGTAGGCTACTTTTGTTATCCATCAATATCGATTTTAACGATTTTTTGTGGCCAAGAGCTGGGACCTGGCATAGAGGGTTAAGCGAGCCTGATTACTATATTATTGACAGGGCCGGGCGTAGGCGGGTTTGCTAGCTAGCGCACAATATTCAGGAAACTACGAATATATCCAAGAGTATGACCTTTAGTTTCAAGATATTAGAAGCAGATTTGTATCCCTAGATCAACAATAATAAGGTATAAAGAAAATTTATTAATAATGAGCTGAAACCATGATGAGAAGTAAAGCAAAGAAAAAAAAAGTAAGAAAGCACACCTCTACTGTCGTGGTTCCCATGATAAGTCTTGACAGAAAATAATACTTTATCGGTAGTGAGTGGAGCTGAAGACTCGCAAGGAGCGAACTAAACACATGAGAAGATAACAGTACGTCATCATGATACAGGATACAATGTACCTACGTCGTAGTAGATAGCGCAACCATCACGTTTAGTATTACAAAAGGTGTCAGAATACGATGACAAAGTGGTTCCGCCCCTTTTGAGGATGAGCAGTGCAATCTAAAGCTAAGAAGTGGAACTGACACGACGCAAACAACCTTTGCTTATGTATTACTGATAATCACACGAATGAAATAAAAGGAAAAGGAAGAAGGCATAAAACATACATGAGACTGCACTTACCTCATGCTTGGCATCTATCGAGAATAAGCTCAAAGGTGGATCAATAGAGTCAGCCGATACTAGTCTGAAACAACTGTAATGAGAACGCAGAAGAAATGGAAAAACTATCCAAAAATTCTGATCAAAACAAACTCTGCAAGAAGTCCTCTCGAAAGCAAAATGCCACAAGCAGTGTCTGGATACAAAAATGTTTGTCCGTCAGTAGCGTCGTAGCCGTGGAAGTGATGGATAATGACAGGGCTAAATGCAAGCGATGAACATTGCGAAAGGTGGAACAAGCTCATGGTGAAACACAATATATTGCACACAAATTTTGCACTAGGGCAAAACATCGGGCTTTATAAACAAACACAGTGTTCTAGACTTACCTTTCATCATAGAGACCACATCCAAGAAAATATTTCCCATGTGAATCAAAATGTTGCATAAAATCAATCAAAACGTTAGCATTTACATGAGAATCCGCCTCCAGAAAAATGTACCACTTCGACAGGATATTTTTATGAAGCCTGAATAGTAGTCGAGCTTAGCAAGCTCACCAGGCATGCAAAAAGATGGTGCCTTCAAACCTACTGAAAAGAGTCCACATAGCCCACGAGCCAACGAAATTAGAAAAGTCCAGGTGGGGAACGATCACTTCAGCATCCTGGAATGTACTATCTTTCGTAATATCACAGTCCATAGTCAGACTTCAGATATAGAAATTTGTAATAAACACACAGATGCACACCTCATGTTGCTTTTCGAAATCTTTCAAGATTGTATCTTTGAGGAAGACTGCTTTGGCAGTATCGAAGTTTGAACGTTGACCAAGAATAACGAATGTTGCAAAATCTGGAAAGAAAATGATGGCTAGCAAGTTCGATAACGCAGGAAGCCGGCAGACTGCGCCAAGTTAGCAGATTTGTATAGCACGCGAGCATTGCGAACCAGATGTTTTCTCTTTTTCCAGAAAATTGGTAAATCATGATTACAACACTTATGATTACAATTTCAAGTGCTAAGGAAGGCGATAACCGATAGTCGGACGCGAAAATGCTGAAGGACTACTCCACTGCCTACAAATAGTTTAGCCATCTCTGCCGCACGAAAGCGCAGTGCAAATGTTCCCCTAATTGCAGTTAAGGTAACGTTTGCCCTGATTCCCGAAATCATAATTAGACGCATGTCTCCCACGCTTATCTTAGCACTCTTGCAGAAATGAACATCTCAAGATCAGATACTCATCGTCATCGTACCTTGATGCCGTCCATAAATAAGGTTCAAAAGGCCGTAGCGAGGAACAACACAATGAGGACAAAAAACGAAGGCTAAGGCATTGAATTATCCGCGTATAGCACACGCCATACTATTAGTGATTTGATCAATACTTAATCCACTTCACTAGCAATCGAATCAATATATCGTTTAGCTTTGTAAACTAGTACAAACTCACTGGTATGAGTGTTACCGTATGCGCCACAGCGAGTGACTGATGTAAGAGCGAATAATATCCAGCAAAGAAAGGAAGCCCATTTCCACACCATAAACTAAAGCAAGCAAAAACTGAAAATGTACAGCTCAAGTAACAAAAGCATGCATAGGGAAGAACCTTGAAAATTAGAAATTTTTAGCGCACAGAATTTATCACTTATCACAGACAACAACATGAGTCATGACCGTACAAACAATCATATTATATTTTACAGAGCAGGTAACGTGGAATAACCGTCAATCGTTCGAGTAGCACTGAAACACAACAATACGCGGAAAAAGAAAACGATGGCTCATCACAAAGAAAGATTCAGACAGTTTAACATGACAATCATGATGATAATTTGACAATCAATCGATAGCTAATATTTCCCACTCGACAACGCAGACATAAACCAGCGAATCATAGATTAAGAGCTGTGGTAGAGAGCTGAATAAACCGTAATCCAAGCGACCATAAAAGTTGCAAACGCAGACCCGAAACCTTCTTTGGCTAACTCCCAAAACCCGCCAACCTCGTCTTCGTCCACCTTAAGCAATGATTTGGATAATTACCTTGTTAAAAGAAAACTTCACCTACTTGTTGATATTTTACAACGAAATGTTGAGCGACCATAGTTGATATGACGACATATGCAAGTATAGCAAGAATTCCATGCATGGATGCGGCGCCGAATGCGATACCAATGACTAAGGATAGGATCTGAAGCGAACATAACATGGAAGATACAGAGAACGACTCTGACAATTATTTACAGCTGGCAGACAAGACAAAAAAAACATCAACTACTATCAAAGTATATGATATACCTGTTTCCCCCAGTAAACAACGTCTAATAATTCATCTTTGTCTGACCATTCGCTACCAGCGTGGAGGGCCTTCCCTAACTGAAAACAAGATTAAGCAGAATTCGTTTCGTCGAGGTTCAAGAAACTAGAAATGTTTGAGTAATGAACACAACAGCAACTATGCTAGAGATAAAAATGGTTTGAGTAGCATGTCACGGACCATCGAACTCCAAAACTTACTCACCGAATCTGTCCAGTTGTACTTTTCTGGGGAGGCACTCCGCTTTGACATAATCTGAGATAAACACCCTCTTTTTACTTATTAAAAAAGCTGAAGAGAACGGATTTGCTGCAAATATGAGAACTTGGAACACGCGAGCTCTCTCGAGTGAAACAATTCCGAATTTCTAAATTTTCGCACGTCAATCTCTCTTCAGTAAAGAAACGAACGTTAGAGTGACAGTATGTACGAGAGTCCAAGTTCGATGCAAAATCGAAAATTGTCCGTAATTGCGCGTCTAAGGTCAGCGCACGCACTATCACAGAAACGACTATTGGGTATCTACTCTGACATTCGGTCCGTGCGGCGCGCGCGTGCTCCCCGTGCGGCGCCTTGTAGTGCGAGGGGGCCGAACGCTCCGTGCGCGGGGGCCGAACGCTCCGTGCGCGGGGGCCGAACGCTCCGTGCGCGCGGGCCGTACGATGAATGCGCGCGCGCCGTACGATGAATGCGCGCGCGCCACTGGAGGAACGAGCGCGGGCCGCACGGTTATTCTCGTCGTTATCATTCATTGCACGCGGGTGGCGCGCTTTTGGCTTATCATATCTGATATCAGATTTTATCATTTTTATCACTTTTTATCACTGATCTTATCAGACATCAAATTTTATCATTTTTATCACTTTTTGATCACTGATAGGATCAGACATCAAATTTTATCATTTTTATCACTTTTTATCACTGATAAGATCAGACCCCTATTTCATCCTCGTATGCATTTTTTTGAGATTTTATGTAAAGAAAGTTTACAGTAAGGAGAGTTTACACTCAACATTTTCACATGAATGAAATAACAACACGGTAGGGAGCAATACAATAAAATCTCACAAACTTTTAACGATATTTACAATTAGTGCGGTAGTATCAGTAATAGAGAATAGCAGTTTCAACAAGCAATTGTTGACAGATTCAAGTAGTATTCACAGAAACACGCGATGACTAAATATGCAAATAACATACCGGTATTTCAACCACGTAATATATGAGATCAATATATATTATATATAACATGAAAGATATCATATCACAGATGAATCACATCATAGTATATCAATGTAACAAGGAATAGAATTAACAAATAATAACGTCGCTTCCTGAATCACTGTGAACAAGGCACTGTGTTTTCATCCACTTCTCCGGGAGCTCCACGTTTCCGCTGAAGTTCAAACATCATCGTCTATCTTCTGAAAGATCTGATAGCCACTTACAGGATTAGCAATCCATCGTCCAGCTTCATAACTGTATGACCGCACGTCGCGCCTGAAAGATTTACAGTGATTTAGGAATACGTGCTTACTAAAAACAACTCACAGTGCTAATTGCAGCGACTTGAATAATTGCGGTCTCCAGTTCTTCTTTTCTTCTTTTAGATCAGCAAGATTCTGCTTTCTTTCCTGCTCAGTACTTCCCAGGTTTTGATACCACGGCGATTCTTGTAGGTCTGTTTGACGAAACTGCTCCAACTCTTCATGTCCGTATCCTAACATGTCCTCGACCATTTCTGAATAGCACTTTTCTTTTGGAGTAACAAGAATCAATTGATATTTTACCTATCAGGATGTCCGTTACTCCCCGTGGAAGGCTCTTCAACTTCAAGTCTCTCCCTTTCAACGTGTTGATCCGCAAGGAGTATTCTCGAATGCGTTCTGGTGGGTTGCAAATCTAAATATGATGTTGAAGTTTATTTTTGATAAGATTTTCTGTGTTTTTGACTTACTCTTTGAAGTATGTGGCGGTACAGGGCCGAGACCTGCACATATGCGTTATCCTTTTTTCGCGGGGACCAGTCATCCAATTCCTTCAGTAGATTTACCTAGAAAATGGAGCTTTAAAATGAAGTCAAATGTGCGTGAGGCTCTTGCCTTCGAAAACGGTGGTTCGGCGTCGATCCTCCACATTCTTGTGCAATTTGTTACCGAAGGCGTAGTTGCCACAACTGGTAAGGGCCTTTCCGCCGTGTCAAAACATCGAATACTTTTTGTGGCCATTGCTCGTGCAATTTCCGCCTGAAATGTCAACATTTTATGGTAGGTAAGGAACTATCAGGTGGTTATCTTACTATGATTCTGTTCGCGATTCCCCATAGAAGATCCAAATCACGCCCCAAGGGGCGGTTCAAACTGCCATATGTTGTTGTTGCTCTCGCCGCCACATCTGATTGAACAAATTCCTACAAAATAATCGGTTAGGTTATACAGAAGGAGCGTTTTGTGAACTTACATAGTACGCGGCTTCATTAAAGGCAGTACCTCGGCAGAATGAGACCCGTGACAAAACGAGGTCACAGGGTAGGAGCCCCCCATATGGAAACTATCGGTTAAAGTCCGATCTTTTTCTGCCACTTCTAACCCCCGAAATTTCAAAGCGAAAGCAGCGCTCATTCCTGTCCTCTCCGAATCCGCCCACCCCATGGACGAGTGAACGCGAAGCTGTCATGGCGAAGACGCAGAGTCGTTGCGGGACCTCATGCTTATAGCATTGCGGCTGGCGCTCTGACCGCGGATGACACTCGTCCATGGGGTGGGCGGGTTCGGAGAGGGCAGGAGATGAGCGCCGCTTTCGCTTTGAAATTTCGGGGGTTAGAAGTGGCAGAGAAAGATCGGATTTTGGCCGATAGTTTCCATATGGGGGCTCCTACCCTGTGACCTTGTTTTGTCACGGGTCTCATTCTGCCGATGTACTGCCTTTAAATTCTTCACGTCGCATTTTACTCAGGATCAGTTTCGCAGCGGTGTCCACATGCAATACGCCAGCAGAGATACAGTCATGTAGCGTGGATGGTAGAGGGGGTGAGGCTGGCCGTTGTTCTGTCCTTTCTTCGTGGAACTCCCTCCTTTCGTAAACATTGCCTGAATTTTAAATATTTGAATGGCAAACTTGTTTTAAATCAAAAGTAAAGGATTATCTTTTTACCTTGTGGCACTTCTTCTTCCATAGCAATTGGGACTTCCTCTGTGGGGACTGCGCGTTCCTCAACAACTCGCGGGGAGGTGATGTTCAGCAGAGCTCTGGGCTTTGCGTACACTCGCTTTGCAGCTCTTGACCTTGTTGCAGCTGGAGACGTTCGTTGCATAGCTGTATTTCTAAGCGAAAATTACAAGTTATAGAAATGTATACATCAATAAATACAAGCATCTGAAATAAAATACAAGCATTTGAGATAGGTATACTTCGCAAAACGATATAGCATAAAAAGTGTAGCGCATTAGAAGAACTTTTATTTACATTATATACATATTCATACAATGACAGAACCTAACCTTTGATGACTGGCTTGGCACTTGGCATCTCTGATAATTATACTTACATAATTATGTTTCGTCGTTGCTTTTAGTCGTCATTAGTTTATGTTTTGATATTTGTCGTTTTTTTTGCATCAATGCATGTTGCATCTTGCATGAAGTATGCATGAGGAGTACGTAGGAAAACAAATGTGGGGAGTACAGATGGAAAAACTTGCGAAAAAACAATGGTCCACTCGAGAAAAGCTCAAATGAATCAAAAATAGATGATTGAAATAAAATAGTAAGGTGTAGATGTAATTGTACTCAATGTAAAGTGGAAAGGTACCTTTCTATCAGAAGAGTGGAGCTGTTAGTAGTGTGTTGATTCATTTTTACTTGCAATCTGCGGTGATGTCCTTCGAAGGGTGCCGCGGAACATTGATATAATGATCCAAACCGCTCTAGCTCACGGTCCATCGCATGTTCGAAGAACCACTAAATATTGAGGCGAAGGTTTACTTCAGACGTAGGTGTTATATGAAAACTCACATGGCATTTCATCGTGAATGTGTGGGATGCCAGCATAATCCATAGGTCCCTAGTGTGCACAGCTATGGACTTCACTTTCTCAATCACTGTCTTTGTCAGGGATGAGGTTTTGCAGATCAACCTCACGCATAGCCAGTAGCCAACCAGGGAAGCGGCGGCTATGGGCGATGGAACAATGTCCACTGCCGCTACTAGGGGGAATAGCACGAATGCCATCTAAATTTGAAATGTTTCAAATAAACTCAAAACGGAGGCAAAAGCACCTCATCCACTTCGGCTCCTTTACAGGTGGGCAGATCCTCCAAAGATAGCACCAGGCTGTTGGAGTAGGTATGGGAGGTGATCTTTGCGAGGCAGTCTTTTACATGCTCCAGCGATTCTCGATCCACTTTCAGCTCCCGAAACTTTGACGTAGGGCTAAACAAATCTGAAAAGGTCTTGCTCGATTAATTATTCATGATTTGTGGAGCTGTTGTGGTACCTCTCAGCCTATTCCTAGTAATCCCCTCTGAACAGATGTGCAGGGCATCTCCGAGGAAGTGGCTGGGAGGTAACAATTCCATCATGTACGTTTTTTCTGCAAACACGTAAAATATCTGAAAATGGGTGGACCCGTATCCTCACTTGTGAGTCCAAATTGCTGCGCTTCAGCATCTATCGCAAATGACTCCTCACTTCGCTGCACCAAATCTGCGCTGTTTGATGGAATCCACGTTCTCTGGTTTCCAGCTCGGATTCCTTTAATGTAACACTTCGAACATCCATAGTCTGCATTCCATCTAGGAACTCCGAAGAGCGCTTGCTGTGCCTAAGTTTGTACTGTCAGAAATTACAAGTACTCCCGCAAATTTGTACCGGCATGTCGGCAACACCACGGAAAAGGCGTACGTCTACAGTCCATGTTTCTTCTCCTACAACCACCTCGAGAGGGGCATCATGTAGGCTTAGTAGCTCAGAGTACAATCTGATATATGAAGTAGTTGAGTGTATAAGGTGGGATTATGAGGTAATATACGCAAATCTTGCCTGCTGAAGAGAACTTCTATCAGGCGCTCAGTAGGTTTTAGACGAGTGTATACTGTTCCAGCAATCATTGTGTTAAAATAATTATTAGCCTCTTTCGGAGGCAGCCCCTCAACACGTAGGTAAAGCGGCCAAACTTCTCGCCTTCAATCAAAAATGAGTGCTTTTGCTAAGGTTGCAACGTGAACAGCATAAAATGACTTACTTCGAGAGTCTCCTTGGTACAAAACCATCCAAGGACATCGTAAGCAGTACCGTCAGTCGTTTATTGTTGAAGTCGCTCCGGCTCTCAATGCTGTCGTAGTATCCTTCAAAGAGTCTCACATCGCTACGATCTTCGGTCGCAGCGTCCTTAATGATTAGAATGTAGACATTTGTGTATGGGCAGATTTCAGAGCAGCTGTACTCTATTATCGTGGAGCATCCTATGCATCGCAATGATGTCCTCCAGGCCGGCAACAAGGATATCCGTTATCTGTGGGATAATGTTCACTAGATGCACTTCAGTCCTTTGGATTCGCTTCGCTCTCTTCAAAGCAACTCTAGAATGATTAGCTTACTTTATCTAGATTAAGCATGAGAGCTGAAGAAGCGAACCCAAAAATCTTGCAGTCAGGCTTTCTGCAAGCTATCTCATTTTCGCCCATTGTCTCCCCGCATTCAGTACAGAAAAAGTACTTCTTGTGGTCATACTCGTTCAAGATGCTTTTGTACAAAGCAAGTACGTTACCCTCATACTGAAATAACATTAGTCATAGGCTTATTTTCGGTTAATTTCGAACATGAGCACCGTAATTGGAATGGGACCCCCGATCATGATCGAGAAAAGTTCCTCCAAACGTTTGATTTCTTCGTAGGATAGTCCGAATTGCTGCAAGTACCACGCATAGCAGAGAGTGCGTTCATGAAGGGCTAAACGATTAGCATGTATGACCAGAAAACTGCTTGTTTTTGCTGAACGTACACATTCTCTGTGAGCTGTTAGACGAAGATCCCACAGAGTCAAGATCTTCACCCTCATCTTCCATAGTGATATCAGAGGACTCGTAAAGTCCCGTGAAACTTTCACTATCTAACAAGATTCGCTATTGCTTTTATAACCCCATATGTCATACTTACCTTGGAATTCTTCAATGTACAGATTCTCCTCTTTTTCCTCACGTCTTCGCGACTCCTCTTCGTCTTCACGTCTCTGTAGTTCAGCGATATGTAGACGAGCCTGTTGTCTTTCTACTCCATAAATGTGTTCTAGTGCAGCTTCTAAATATATGATCGAAAATTGGATTGCTATTTGTAGACCTTTATAATTCAATTGCCTCCATATGCTCGTCTCCCTTCTAGCTGTGATGGAAAATTTCGATAATACCGTGATGACATTTCTCCTATAAATAAAAATTAAATTGGCAATTTGGCATTGAAATGGGAAACGAATACATAACGAAATTGATGAAAAAAGGAATGAAAAAGATGAAAAAACCAAGAAAACATCAAATTCCGTTTCGTTCCTGCCCTTGGACGGAAAACAAAAGAAATCTGAGCCTTTCCCGGAACTCATCAGCAAGGAAGAAAGGCTATGGGATAAAGAAGATAACAACATAAAATGAAAGGAAATGAATTATCAAAATCTCAATATGAAAAGTGAAAAGATGAAAAAACCAAGAAAAAAATCAAATTCCGTTTCGTTCCTGCCCTTGGACGGAAAACAAAATGAAATTCGAGCCTTTCCCGGAACTCATCAGCAAGGAAGAAAGGCTTGGAAGAAGGTTAGAAGGGTTAAAACGAAGAAACAGCGTCGATTTGTGTTAGATTTGGGAGCTATAATTTGAGCGCGAATATCGGCGTCACTTGGAAATTCAAATATTCACTAGTGTAAACAAACTATTAATCTAAACTAGATTACTCCACATTTCCATCTCAAGATGCTAAAGAGTGAATAGAGAATAGTGCAAAATTCTACAATCCCAAAAAAAAAACGTCTTAGAAATAATTAAAGAATTTTAAATTATTTTCGCGTCTGTATGTTGAAGATGAACAGGAAAAGAACACATACTGGTATAATAGCATGACTAAAATGAAGAGGATCGAAAGATACCCACAAGGATTCTCCCAATCTGTCCATTTCGGCGCGAAAAGAAGCGTCTCCCCTAAGGTACTAGGCAATTATGCGTTTTTGAATGCGCGCGCGCCGCACGGTTAGGATTAGGGCGCGCCGCCCGCACGGTAAATAGGCACGCGGGCCGTACGTTCGGTAACAATGCACGCGCGCCGCGAGGTATAAGGCCACGCCCACAGATTTATGCGCGCGCGCAGCACGGATGGCCAAAAACAAGCGCGCGCCGCACGCACCGAATGTCAGAGTACTATACTTGGGGAAATTCGAAATTTTTTTTTGAATACTAGCGGCCCAATGACCATCAGGTGTGAGAAATGACATATTGGGTCACCAAATCCTCGACACTTTTTTCAATGACGAAAGCTAATAAACTTATAGATGTATTGATTAAAGTTCTGTAGGGAAGGCACGGTGCGCATATAAAATGGCAAGTACGACTGCTTGTGGAAGGACACTCAGACCAAAACTTGACGACAACGCGCATTTTTAGATGTCTGCCTTGTGGGACAAAGCCTATGAAAAACTTGAAAATTTCTAGCTAAGACGTAGATCGTCATCTACAGTGCAACTACAGCAATTTTAAGAGGCAGCCAAGAAACGCGGAAGTGAATTCTAAAAATAACCTCAGAGCGTAGGAAAACTTCTGAAGTGAATGCATGCCGAAACTATAATCATCTTAACTAACTTGGAGCGACCCATGTGGGTCACATTGCCCCACGTGCCAGTCATTGCATGACCCAGTATGGGTCATGTTGTCGTCATTGTGCTAACAAGAATTGCCGCTGGCATTCGAAAAAAGATGTTGCGTTCAGTGAAGCTCATTTTTGTGCAAACCCTGCACCTCGTACTTTTTCTCGAGACTCGCCTACGCAGTGAATAACCGCAGCGCTTCTCCTTCTTGTAAAGCATCCTTCCCGTAGCTCTCCCTTCTGTGGCTTGTCGCAATGTATTGCCTGTTCCTTTCAGCTTAAATTTTCATATAGCGTTAGCGGTTTTTTCCGTGAAAGTATTTGAGGCGGCTCCTTTTCACTCTAGCCTCAAAATATGAGTTCTTCCGATTTTCTTAGCCAAAATGCTATGCTACAAGTTTTTAAACCTAAAACATCACATTCAAGTTATTCATTCTTTGTTCGTCATATAAGGAGCTATCGCTAATAACGATTTCAATCTTGATGCTCATGCTGCCATACTATGAACGCTATTCCATATTCGGACCCCAAAATGTCAAAGTCTTGGATGCTGTTCAAACTTCGTCTAGTAGGTGGGTTGTCAATTCTGCGCGGTAGCGCCATCTTTTGATGCTGCTGTGGGTATATGGTCGGGAGGTCAGATCGCGGACTTCGCTGAATCTCAGTCTAGGGATTCCTGTTTGGCATGCTGATCACGAATATCATACTTTTTCTGCAAAAAGGTTTTTTCGTGAAGTTATTGTAGGTTTACGGTAGGGGGACAAAGTCTTAAGTTTGGCTGCGGTTTGATTTAAAAGGTATTGTACATGTTGGTCGCAGGCATCATATTTCGTTGCGTTTTGGCACCTTTTCAAGGAGTCACTGTAGTGTATGGCAGTGGTCAAAAAATAGACCTGCCTGAAAATTAGTGCCAGATCATCTGGCTTGCTGATCACGAAAATCTTGCTCATTTTGCATGATAAAGCCATTTCATTTTTGTGATGTGACGAAAGAATGCCTACCTATATGCCGCAAATTACCGTAACTCCACAATAACGCGTTGATGCAGCAAGCAAGCATAGTATCCCTAATCAGCATGCTTGAAATTCTAGGAAAAGTTTTGTGCAAATTTGAAACTGCAATCATCCACCTTACATGCATCGTAGTAAGAAAATGGCGCTACAGAAGCTGTATGATATTCATGTTCAGCGGGCTTACTCCCTAGGCGAACTTTAGCAAATTCGTAGTTCCACCCCATACCGTATAACCACCGCAATTCCATGAAAGAGCTCTAAAATGCAGAAAGAATATGATGTTTGTGATCAGCACGTCAGAAAACCCCAAAGTTTAACCGATACCGATTTTGACCCTTACCTATACCCAACGTAGCCCTACCAAATGTCGTTTTTGAGAAGAAAAAAAAGCATGGACCGAGTTTCAGCGAAACACGATTTTGATTTTCGGCGCCGAATACTGAAATAGTGCCGTTAGCATTTCCAGTCTAAGTACATAGTTTTTATTCTTCAGAATTTTTAAATCAAGCCCGAATCTCCTCTTTTTCTGAAAGTCCTTTTCTCCCTTCATTCGAAGCAGCTAAGCTGCACCACAGAAGTCACAAATGGAGAATGCGCATAGCTATCGCTTTGCCGCGTAGTTCGCGTTCATGTGGTAGATGCACAAGTCGGGGATCTAGTAATGTGAAACAAAAGTCAGAGCACGAAATCATAATGATATATCATGATTACAACGAAAGTGCATACCCAGCAGAATGCTGAATGAGTGTTACTCAAATGTTTTCCACCGAACATAAGGTATTTGACAAATTTGGACTTTCAAAATCATTGCATATATGAAAAGAAGATGCTTCATGCCGCCACGATGTAGGGCGTTTCGCACGACCATAATGCTTTTCACACAAACATTCCGCGCGCGACACACCCTGCGCAGCTTTTGCCTAAGCAAAAAGGGGGAGGAAAGATTTGCGGCGTGGTAGCGTGTTGGACAAGTGAAAATGAGGGCGACGGTGAAAACCTCCGTGTGACCGTTTCTCCACGCGCCACATTTTGCGGCGCTTGTGATCTACGCGAATAAAGAGGAAGAACAATCTGGCCTTGAAAGCAGATTGACCTTTCATATTTTTGAAAGAAAAAATACAGACATCATTCTACAAACAGGACGACGGCCGTAGGAGCTGCTTGCATGCTTTTGTACGTAACTGTATAAAAATTTCAATGCATATATGAAAAGAAGATGCTTCTTGCCGCGCGCCACGATGTAGGGCGATTCGCACGCCCTACTCGTGGCGACCAAGGCAGTGTCCCGGCAGATTCGCACCCTGGGTGATATCGCTGCGGTGGGGTTCTGGCCACCCCCACTTACCTCTAGGCCTCTTCTCTTGCTTATTCGACGCGGGACCCCACTACCACTCTTTGCATTGTGCATGCTATTTCAAAGCAAAATTACAGGCAGGGTTTTTTTGCCGGGGCCTCCCAAATTTCCGTTGAAATTCTCCCGAGCCGCTTTTTGGAAACTGAGGAAACTCCCCCAAAACGGTCTTTTCACCCGGTTTTAAGCTCAGATTCTGGTTCTACGAGTCGAAAAGGCTTTAAACTTGCAGAAAGGTGGAAACGCAAAATCTGACGGGACACTGCCTATAATGCTTTCCACACAAGCATTCCGCGCGCGACACACCCTGCGCGGCTTTTGCCTAAGCAAAAAGGGGGAGGAAAGATTTGCGGCGTGGTAGCGTGTTGGACAAGTGAAAATCAGGGCGACGGTGAAAACCCTCGTGTGAAAGGACCGTTTCTCCACGCGCCACATTTTGCGGCGCTTGTGGTCTAAGCGAATAAAGAGGAAGAACAATCTGGCCTTGAAAGCAGATTGACCTTTCATATTTTTGAAAGCAATAATACAAACATCATTCTAGTAACAGGATGACGGCCGTGGGAGCTGCTTGCATGCTTTTGTACGTAACTGTATAAAAATTTTAATTATATGAAAAGATGCTTCTTGCCACGCGCCACGATGTAGGGCGTTTCGCACAACCATAATGCTTTCCACACAAACATTCCGCGCGCGACACACCCTGCGCGGCTTTTGCCTAAGCAAAAGGGGAAAGGAAAGATTTGCGGCGTGGTAGCGTATTGGACAAGTGAAAATCGGAGCGACGCTGAAAACGCCCATGCGGAAGGACCGTTTCTCCACGCGCCACATTTTGCGGCGCTTGTGGCCTAAGCGAATGAAGAGGAAGGCAATCTGGCCTACTCCCTATTATCAGCTATTCTCTAACGAAGGCGGCTGCTAATGAAAGCGAGCCGTGTGCGGGCGTACGTGCTTAATCATGAAAAGCGGTCAAACTCCCGTCCGCATCTGCTTCACAAAGCAACAGCCATCGTTAGGGACCAGCTTTCACATCACATCATGAGCACTGCTTTATCGCGCTTGTTGTTCGCAATTTTTAACATCATGGAGACGATTGGATAAGTTTGCCTTGGTTTTTCAAGATGCAAGCGAGAAAGGAAGCAAAGTCTACTGCCAAGGCGCTCATGGTCCGAACCATCTTCCTGATTTCTCTTCCCCCTCCCCTCACCCTATCAATAGTGGTAATATACGATAAGTTGAGTGTAATTACTATAGTTTAGTGAAAATAGGACTGGATGTTAGATTTTGTAGTCCTAGTGGGAGTATCTAGTGTTCTTGCTGCGGTCTTCCCCCTAACCAATTTTAAATATGTTATCCCCTATTGCATATCAAAACGTCCATAACTTCCTTCTCAAAACAGTTGTGCAGATATAATAGGCAGGTTCGAAATCATTTCAACTTCTTCGTAGAGATATGTTTGTGGTGATCTGCCACTTCGACTCCTCGAGCCTTTCTTGTGAGACCATTTCGCCAGTCGTCCCCAGCCCTATTTCCATTTTTCTATTAAGCAAAAAGCTAACGAAGGATAATTTGGCTTGACATTACCTCATCAACACTACCTTAAAGCTCGCGACTTCATTACAGAAAAACTATACTTTTCTTGAATGCAGACAATAAAAGAGACCAGAAGTTTCTGATTGTATAGTTTTATTAGTTGTGACAAAAATAAGGAGTAGAACGTATTGGCAGCTACTTATAGCCATAAAGCATCATACTCATACTGCCGTAAGTATTACAAGCATTGAAGTAGACACTGACTAACTGCACATGATTAACACGAGATTGATGTCCATGTTACAATAGAAAGTCGAAACAGTCGAGGACTCCCTCATCAACACCAAGAACACTTCTCCATTGTGTTAGAATGAATTCGGCTGCGGCACATTCGTCACGAAAAATCCCTTCTATCTCTGATTCTGCCTTCACCATTTCCAAGACATCGTATCATAAGATAAGCCAGCTACAAGCTCTGCTTTGGGTGATCGAATAGCAAGCACAATTGTTCGTAGGAAACCAATGAGCGCGGTCTGAAATTATGGCAGTTTGAAAGAATTTGACAAAAAGATTGAACAAATGTTCACAATAGATTCTCAGCTTTTTCATGCCACAAAACGAGACAGGAGGTTGAGCAGAGTCCTTTAGCTGCCAATTCAGCAAAACCACTTTCTCTTCTGCAGATGCAATGTATCAGGTTGTCCCATAAGTTCCGTCCGTTTTGAATTTCGATCGCAATAAGTCATACACTTTTCATTTCTAGATAAGTTGCAAGGTACCATTCGATAGATCAAAGCAAGCTCTACAAGATGGCTGCTTTGCTTTTGTACTAGCTTTGTTACATCTCGAGTTCCAACGCGAAAACTAAAAAGATTTAAATGCTTGAAAAATCGATAAAAATTCGTAACTCCGTTCAAAAAAATCCTACAAAAATTCTAATTTGCTCATGTAAACACTATCCATCTAAGACATTTATTTACGCCGGTGCCGTATTTTTTCCTTGGCTAGAAGTCACGAAAACGAAAATTTTCATGTTTTTACCAAAGTGATGCTGTGCTGTCCCTAAGTAGATAGTTGTGTACTATTAGCCTGCGGAAGTGTAAACATAAATTTTCAGCTCTCTACAAGCAGTAGTTTTCGAGAAATATGGATTTTAGCGTAAGGCATTCAAGCAAGGCAAGCTATATTCAATATTTCTCGAAAACTACTGCTTGTAGAGAGCTGAAAATTTATGTTTATACTTCCGCAGGCTAATAGTACACAACTATCTACTAAGGGGCAGCACAGCATCACTTTGGTAAAAACATGAAAATTTTCGTTTTCGTGACTTCTAGCCGAGGAAAGAATACAGCACCGGCGTAAATAAATGTCTTAGATGGATAGTGTTTACATGAGCAAATTAGAATTTTTGTAGGATTTTTTTAAACGGAGTTACGAATAATTATCGATTTTTCGGGCAGTTGAATCTTTTTGGTTTTCGCTTTGGAACTCGAGATGTAACAAAGCTAGTGCAAAAGCAAAACAGCCATCTTGTAGAGCTTGCTTTGGTCTATCGAACGGTACCTTGTATTCTGTATAGAAATGAAAAGTGCATGACTTATTGCGGTCGAAATTCAAAACGGACGGAACTTATGGGACAACCTGATATATTGCGAAGGGACTGATAGATAAATCTTCGGCCTTTAACTTGATAATCTTGGACTAGAAAACTTCCTGTAAACTTCAAAAAGATTTTTCGAAGCAGCGTGCTGCACCATGTGCAGCACCGTTCCGAAACGTGTTTATAATGTATTGTAATTAAAATAATTTTATAATATTTTCATGCGCATAATATTTTCAAGCACAAATTCCGGTTGACTAGGTTCTGACATATCAACTAATTTCGTGCATATGTTCTCCTTTACGTACCATTGCGATGTGCCCCCTGTAAAGCTGGTTCAAAGCAACAACCAGTGTTTATCATCAGGGTTGAGCGTGGGGTCAGGCGCGCCCGCCTGAGGGTTCGTATTGGTGGTAAGACCGAGGGAGGGGGGCGTTATCAAGAATCGAATTCACTCAAAACAGGGATATATTACGACCGAGTAATGTGAAGAAGAAAAAAGAAGACCGATGCATATCATACACCAAAGCATTCAAGGAATGACTGCCGTGAGCAGCATACTGATTGATTCTATCGAAGTTCATTTTAATTCTCCATCTCTTACCCAACACTACTAAGGTCACGAAAGAAGCTTGCTGTGTAAAGTGAGTATAATTTTCGTAATCAGAACATCAAATCATCTCTACCAGCTCTACAAACCATTACCTATCACATTTCCTAGCATTTCCTATCGCTAAGAAGTGTGAAATTCGGACATGATAAACTTGGTTTCGAAAGTGAAAGAAGACAGCTTTTTTATACTCATAACAAAGTAATGTTCCCTGTCAGTCTATGCTAGAAATTAGAAACTGCCAAAATTCCAACCATCGCGTTTTTCACCTTGAGCGCTTCAACTCCACGGACTGAGCCGAAACAAGTCGAGGTATTTTGTAGCAATTCACTTATTGTGCCTGTGCGAATTCGCGCATGATACGAAGTCACATTCCAATATGATATCTGTTCGAAACACAATAGTAGATATTGGAGAGTGAGATCTTTTTTGGCAAAGGGAAAAAAGTACTAGCCGCAAGTCAGTATAATCCTTCTAAGCAAAATTTTGCCTTTTTCACATCCTCTTCCCTATTTCCTGTTAACATCGCAGAGTAAATCAAAGACTCGCACACTCAAAAGAATGCAGTCAACTCCACTAAAACAAAAGTCAAAAATTGAAACACTTTGGAATGCCATAAAAAAGGAATTAGGCAGAACTTGCTCCATTCACTTGCCTTTTGTACTGATAAGAACCATAATGATGAAGCAAAATCATCAAAAAAAAGTACAAAAAAATGTTCTTCACAAGCTTACTTTGAACTCAAGCGCTGAACAATCCACATATAAAATCCGCGCACCAGATGATTCCATGATGGATTATTGATAGAGAATGTCTTCACTGATTCAGCGCATCGTTGCACTATAACGAAAAAGGCATTTGTGACCTCATTACTTTCCAAGAATTTGGATGCAAATGGTAAAACAAGCTGGATAACGATGGAACCAGACGATGTGTAACATCTCCTTCCAAGGAAAGTACAGTCGAATCATTTCATATTATCATGTGTGTCATTGCACACACTGTCCAGCTTTGGCGTTCCCATCCTGATTTCTTGGAGCAGACAACTCTTCCGGTGAGCGTCTCCGATGTGTTCTTAATGTTTTTTCTCCTTTTTAGTTACTATTCACTTTAAAATGAAGTAAGCGATTGCAATTGATTAGTCTCTTACGGTTTTACGATTGCGAATCCAGGATGAAGACGCCAAAGATGGACGGTGTGTGCGATGCACACATAATCATATGAAATGATTCGACTGTAAGTAGCTCTTGGCTCCGACCAATGAATGAAGAGATATTGAAGAAAATGCATCAAACTATGGGAACAAGTTTTGAAGTGACAAACCGAAAGAAGAAAAAACTCATCAGAATATACAAACTACTTCAACTTTTACAAAAAAGCTTACTTGTAGTGATTCTTGACAGCTTGCGAGTGATTAACCTTTGGCCGTGGTGCGGTATTTGCCAACTCTGCCAATTCCAATTTGCCAATGTGAGCACATCATCGCAAGAAAAACTGGAAAATACTAAATCATTAAAATGCATTACCTCCAAATTTTTACAAGAACAAGAAACACACCAATAATAATTTTTGAGATCAATACCCGCTGCATTAAAAGCTTTATGAAGATCCTCTTCATGCCACATACGCATGGATACTCTGACAATCTTACCAACTAATTAACGAATATCTGCAAATTTTTCACTCTCAAAGATAGCGTGCAGATGGAATCCGCTTGACTGAAATTTTGGTCCGAAAGGCCCCCCAAACTGGAGTCCAAGTCCCAATTATGGTCCAAAAGTGGCTCTTCTCACATTTGGACAAGTTTAATGCCTAGAAAGGTTGGGTTCCTTCATACTACGCCGCGCACGCCACCTACGCCGCGCGCGCAGCGTACGCTGCGCGCGCGGCGTAGGTGGCGTACGCGGCGTGCGCGGCGTAGTATGAAGGAACCCGTTGGCACACATTCTCAATTGGCGAAGCTACCAAAATCCTACACGTCACGGGTTAATACCAGGGCACTCGTTCGCGCTTGTCAAAAGAAAGCTCCCAAAACAACGATTTTGTGCTTCAATCTAGAAAATCACGGTTACGAAGAAGCCGAGACGACAATAAATGGAAGCTGAAGCCGCCTGAATGCTGTGCAATGAACAGACACATGGTGAAGTCGCAAAAGGATGATTTGTGAACGAAAATGGCTAGCAAACTAAACGGTCAAGGGATGTTTTACTATCTTAGACATGTTGTACCGCCTAGTCCTATACCCGATCATCCCAAAGCATTTTCATGAAGTTTGCTACCAGAGGAAGGCGCAACAATGATGCTGATTGAGAGGGCCCATCTATATTCAACCCCTGTAGCTAATAGAATCGCGTCGCGCCCTTAGGATTTGTGCCTGTAGTAGGAGTTATGTAGTATGAAAAATAAAACTGCCGCGCCGATAGGCGTTAACGCCTCCGAAAAGGTTGCAAGGCTCATGGGTGAAAAAGGAAGCGATTGAGCAGGGATAGAGGTGACAAAGGAAATACCACATCAGAATCACAGCAAGCATTTGCAGGACTCACCTGGCATAAGAAGACCCACACATTCCGTAAGGGAGTTGTCATCACTACATCGAGACATGTAGAAAGCTTTGATTCCAGCTGGAAACCTGTTCAGCAAGATAGGCTGAAATAAATTAACTAGACCAGATAAATTTTCATCTGAGATCAAGTGAGAAAGAGCAGAGAAATCTACACAGTTTACATAGATGAAAACTCACAACTCCAATTGTGTCCGTTTTTTTTTCGCTGCTTCTGCGATATCTTCACCGTGCACAAATTTCTCACCATGCTCATTACGAACATCGCAGAATTCTGGAAGCGTTCTCGCCGCGTATGACCAGATGCCTAAACTAACAAAGCTTAAAATTGCAAATCATTCAAAAAAAATGAATTTTGGATGGAGTAAAAGGAAAGCTCAATGTCACCTGTTGTCAAACATCACTTCGACTCCAGCTTCTTCGTCCAGCACGTTATCAATATCACCTGGTTTTACAGAACCGATCAGCTCCCAATAATCTACAGCTCATGACCGTCTGGGGCTTGCTTCCCCTCTGGTACCTGTATGATGATAATATTAGGAAAACACTGTGTACCATCGACATTCCTTACCAGCTGAATAGTTCCGTGCACTTCCACTGAGCTTTCGGTGTTCAGCGTCACAACATCGTAACTTTAACACTGTAAAAGCTCTACGTAACTTCAAAAAAAAAAAGGAAACGCTAGAATTCTCGCAAAACCAAATTTATAGCTTATGTATGGGTACTCGTAGAGCAATTCGATGAAAAATTTGACAAATTCTACAAGCTACGATTTCCAGAGAGGAAGAATCAGCTCGAAACCAACCAAAACGTCATTGAGCACGCCTTGTAGAAAGCCAGAACCATCACGAAGCACCCAGAACATGGGTGACCCACCCGAACAAACGGAACGAAAAACGGACAACAACAATGAGAAACAAATGCAAGACTCGTAAAGAAATTTGATGAAAAATTTGAATTTGACAAATTTTACAAGCTACCAATTCCAGAGAGGAAGAATCAGCTTAAAACCAACCAAAACGTCATTGAGCACGCCTTGTAGAAAGCCAGAACCATTACGAAGCACCAGAACATGAGTGACCAACCCGAAAACAAATGGAAAACAAACAAACGAAACGAAAAACGAACAACAACAAATCCCTCTATAACAAAAAAATGGCAACGCATTGAGCCCAAACAAAAATTTAGGCCAACGTCGCGCACGATACGGTAGGCGGGCTCCGGCAACGAATTTAAAGGTGGCTTCAAAAAGTGCTAATCAATGCGTTGCCATTTTTTTGTTATAGAGGGATTCGAATATCGAATATATTCGAAAATAAAAAATTTCGAATTTTCGAATATCGAATAATATTCGGAAATCGAAATTCTCGAATATTCGACTATCGAATATTATTCGAAAATCGGAAATTTCGAATATTCGACTATCGAATATTATTCGAAAATGAGAATTTCGAATCGAATAATATTCGAATATCGAATATCATTCGTTATTCGAATTTCGAATATTATTCGGTTCTCGAATGTTATTCGATTTTCGAATATCATTCTATTTCCGAATACTAATCGAATAATTTACTTCATTGAAACTGCCTATGGAAGGCCAAAACACTAAGAATAAATTGTTTCATGTAAGTGCTAAAGAATGGATACTGTTGTGTCCGTCGCTTCGGACACTCGATGTCTTCGGTAGGTGGAGGCGAGGCAGAATAATATTTATTAGAAATAAATAAGTAGACAAAAAACCAGAGGCTGAGTGAACAAACTGAACTGACAATGGCTAACAGCGAGCGCCTTTTATAGCGCTCGTTTCCCGCGCATTGAGGTTGCAGGCGCCTCAGCGAGGGCAGATCATACGAGAAAACAACTGATCAGAATTAACACAACACCTCCCCCAGTAGGGTAGTTACACAAAACTAGCCTACGATAAAAGCTTGAACTACAAATATGAACAGTTAAGAAATCGGTCATACATAGAAATTCAAACAACTACAAAACTAATGGAACAAACATAAAATAACATACTATGGACTAGGTTGGAACCGTTGTACCGGTCTTCTCGTTCTGCTCGACCTGCGAAGCGTTGTTGGTGGCGTGGAGGGCTCGTGGCTTGATGTCGACGTCGATGTCGTTGAATCCACGGGTGCTGGCGCATCGCTTGCGATCGCTTGCTCGGAATTCTCGTCGGCTGCACTGCTATTCCTTCGTAGAGTGTCGTCTTCTGTCAAAACATCTAAGAGTATCTTCAGGGCTTCGGATTGTTGATGAAGTTGCTGTCTTAGGGCGACCTGTTCGCTATCGCTTCGATGTCGCAGCTGATTTGCATGCTTCTTGCAGATTTCATTGCCAACTATTACTTCGTAGTTGACAGGTCCTATACGTTTCATCACGGTTCCCTTCATCCAGTGGAAGTGGGGTGGCTTCCACTGCTTAGCGTACACTAAGTCGCCAACTTCGAAGTGTTTCCGAACGACTCCATGCTTCTTGTCAAATTGTTCTTCCATGCGTTCTCTTCTTCTTCGTGCGAGTGGATCTTCGGCATCTTCTGACATTGGTAGTAACAGACTTAACCTTGTGCGCAAGTTTCTGCCTAAGAACAATTCAGCTGGCGTCTTGTCGTTCAAATTCGTGTTTGGTGTTGTCCTATACGCTTGTAACACCACATTTAGAGTCTCTTCTGTTGGCCTCTCCTCCCCCTCTAGTTTCTTGATTCCGCGTTTCAGCGTATCAACGAAACGCTCTGCTTGCCCATTCGATTGAGGGTGATACGGGGCAGTCCTTATGTGGGTTATTCCACCTTCGTCACACATCTTCTTAAACAAGTCCGACGTGAACTGTGTACCGTTGTCGCTCACTATTGTTTGCGGTAATCCATACCTTGCAAACAAGTTCTTCAGAGCCTTCACCGTCTTCGCAGCCGAGATATTGCTCATCTCGATCATTTCAGGCCATTTGCTGTAGGCATCTACCACGACCAAGTAGAAGACTCCTTGCATGGGTCCAGCGAAGTCGATGTGTATCCTCTGCCACACTCGAGTCGCGGATGGCCATGCTTCTAATGGTACTTTCGTCGGATTCTTGGCTAATTCCTGACATTTCGTACATCTTCGTACCAAGTCTTCGCAATCTTTATCGATGTTCGGCCAGTAGACGTAACTTCGAGCCAGCTTCTTCATCCTCACAATCCCTGGATGACCACTGTGCAGTTCCTTCAGAACATTTCCTCGAAGCTCCTTGGGTATCACAACTCTTTCGGCTGACATCAGACATTGCTCCACGATTGACAATGTTTCTCTTCGATTTCGAAAATGTGCCAGTTCTCCGTTCACGTCTGGCCACTCCCCTTTCTTCATGTAGGTCATCAGTCTTTGTAGTACTGGATCCTTCTTCGTGTAGGATTGCACATCTGATACTGTCACTGGTAGTTTCCTAATACAATTCTTCAACATGTAGTTAACGTCGTTTTCAACGGCAGCTATCATGACGTCTTCTTCGTTATTCTGACTCTTCTTCATCAACCGTGACAAGCCATCTGCTTGTCCAAACTTCGTAGTCTTGACATACTCTATGTCGAAGTCATATCCTAACAGGATTGTAGCCCATCTCATGAGTCGGTTAGCGGAGTAGACTGGAACTCCTTTCTTATCACCGAAGATGGCTAGCAGTGGTTGATGGTCCGTCAGAAGTAGAAACTTTCGTCCAAATATGTACTTGTGGAATTTCTTGACTGCAAAGACAATTCCCAAGGCTTCCTTTTCGATTTGCGAATAATTCTTTTCTGCTTTCGTAAGAGACCGCGATGCATGTGCAATTGGCTTTTCGGATCCATCGGCATATCTGTGCGATATTACGCATCCAATTCCATAATCGCTGGCGTCCGCTGCCACGACGATCTTCTGTCTTGGATCATAGTGAGCAAGATTGAGCTCACTTGACAATGTATCCTTGAGCTTTTCGAAGGCTTCTTGATGTGTTCGTGTCCATTCCCACTTGGCATCTTTCTTGAGCATCGCGTCCAATGGCCCACGAAGATCCTTGATCTTTGGCATAAACGCTGCATAGTACGCTATCATGCCAAGAAAAGCTCTCAAATGATTAACGTTCTTCGGCTCATCCATCTTCTTAATTGCTTCGATCTTCTCTGAGTTTGGCCTTCTGCCATTTCGGTCTACTATGAAGCCAAGATATCGTATCTCTGGCTTGCCAAAGGAACACTTCTCTAAGCGAATCCTGAATCCGTATTCAGCGATCCTTGCAAATACAGCTAACAAGTTCTCCATGTGTTCCTCTTCGGTTCTTCCACAGACCAAGATGTCGTCTAAGTAGGTTGCTACCCCTCGCAATCCGCTCACCATCTTATTCATTATCTGTTGGAAGATTCCTGGTGCCGTCTTTATGCCAAAAGGCAACCTATTGTACTGGTATAAGCCTCTATGTGTGTTGATCACAACCAATTTCTTCGTTTCTTCTGATAACTCCACTTGCAGATAGGCGTCCGACAAATCTATCTGCGAAAATATGGTGCCTCCATTGAGCGACGCGAATATATCCTCCGGCAATGGCAACGGGTAATCGTACGACTCCAGCGCTTTTGAGTCCAGTTGAGAAGTCGGCACACACTCTCAACTTTCCATTCGCCTTCCTGACGCATACGATAGGAGCTGCCCACTCACTGTGCGTCACTGGACTTATCACCTTTAGTTCCAGTAATCTATCCAACTCCTTTTCGACGGCTTCGAGCGCAGCATGGGGGACAGGCCTACAAGCCTTGAATACTGGACGAACGTTTTCGTCAACTCTCAGGTGCGCTTTCTCCTTTGTGCAGAGTCCTAGACCTTCTTCGCAGACTTCTGGGTAGGCTTCCTTTAGCTTCGAAGCGATATCCTTGGTTTGTTCTGCCTTCACTTCGGCAACCATTCTGCTTAGGTGATAGGACATATCTTCGTTTTTCTGGATCCATTCTAATCCTAGCAGTGAGTTGTGGGGCGTCACGTATGCGTAGCCTTCGCTTCTGGATCCTTTGATTTCGTACTCACACCATAGCTTTCCATGGACTTTCATGGAGCCTCCACTAGCGTTCTTGACGATCACGCTTGTTTCCTCCAGCAGTGGAGCACCCATGCTTCTCCAGATTGCTTCGTTTAGCAAGGTGATATCTGATCCTGTATCCAGTAAGAAACTAACTGGATGACTATTAACTTTCGCTTCCACATATACGCGAGTCGAATTCACTTCCATTATTGCGTTCGCAATCTTCGCAACACTATGCACTTGGCGTTTTGGTTTCGTCCAACTTCTGTTTTTGCTGGTATCGCTGCTTCTGTGGATTCTTCGTTTCGAATCTTGCTGAACAAGTGCTTTTTTCTCCGTCACTTGTTCGCAATACTTCTCCTTGTGGCCTGTCTTCTTGCATTTCTTGCAATACCACAGCTTCGCTTTGCATTCCCTGGCAAAGTGAGCTTTACCACAGTTCCAGCATTCCAGCTTCTGGGGTCCTTCCTTGCTTGTTGCTTCGACAATCTTCGTGCAACCAGCCACAGTCTCGCTATCCTTCTTGAGACTAAGGAAGTTTTCGCACTCCAGATACAATTCGTGTAGCGACATCTTTCGTCCAACCTTGTACTCCTTGTCCAGTACGGCTATGAGTCGCTGCCTGATTTCGGCTTCTTTTTGGCTCTTCAGGCCAAAAATCCATAATAGACATTTGATTCCATCGCTATCCAATTCGTGGATCTTCGCTTTCTCGCATAGTTCGTTCACTCGACCGGTATAAATGAGGTAATCTTCGGAATCCGCCTTCTCCAGCTTCAAACACTGGTACCGCATTGTAAATTCGGAAATCTTGACGT